ACCTTTTTCTGTATCAAATATTTCCTTTACAGAAATACAACTATTACAGATGTACTGATTTTTTCCTTCGAGGGCTAAACCCATGGAGTTTGTACCAAGCAATGTGTTCCTTCAAACTGTGCTCTCCCTGTTGCCCATGACTTCACTGTGCTGGCTCACTCTGTCCTCCACTTGGCCAGGCTCTGCCTTAGCTATATTGCTGTGTTTTATTCCTGGGTTCTTGTTTGTTTCCATTTCATGACTACCTGGCCAAGATGTATTTGCTTGCTAGGGCCCTTTTGTGTTTCTCCTGCTCCCATTTGTCTTTTTTCTCCTAGACTGACTGTGCCCTGGTGCGTGGTTAGGTTTTTTTTCCCAACGGATAATAATAGAAATAATGTATCATTTCCTGAAAAAGCTGAATCTTGCCCTCTTTGCAGGCTGTTCATCTGCTTCTGTCAGAAGCTGCCTTTTTCTTGCCCTAATGATGTTGCTTGCCTGCCTTACTTTTTGAACCTTTTGAACTTCTTCTGGAACATAATTACCTAAGCTATTTGATGAATTTTTTTTACTGTAATAAATAGCCATTTGAGACAAAATGACTGCTGTGGTCATGGGTTATTTCTGTGCTCACCCTGAAGATCACCCCTAAGTTATTTTTATCCTGCTAGCAATGACCAAACTTAATTTTATGCTGGCAACAGAACCCATAATAGTGAGTTATATCATGCTTTCCATTAGTTCATGTATGGCTCTCATATAGCAAAGTATGTTGTCCTAAAAAAAAGCTTGTGTGTGGCTGCAATCTGTAATGATGGAGAATGGCAGTGTTTGGGAAGTTGCCCTGCCCAGTGGTGGGTAGCATCATGGTTCAGTGGAGGGGACAGGGACTTAAGACAGGGGATCTGGACCTTTTACTAATGCAGTTCCTGGTAAATCCCCTGAGGTCAGCTTTGTTTACAGCTGTTAGGAGTCCAACAGAAGTGACTTGCTGTCACTTGCTTCAGGTGGCTTAAGTGCAGAAGGCAGATTTCTGAAGTGGTTTTACTGCATTGTTTTCTACAAATACGTATTTTTGTTTGCTAATAAAGGCTAATTCAGGTGAGTTTTTTTCCTAGTTCATGGACCCAGTTTTTCAGATTGGAAAATGTGCAGGATTTTTTAAAATCTAATCATGTGGCAGTTATGTAGCACTTGGAAAAATGCTTTGAGTTTATTTGACTTTGGATTTTGAGCCTGTGTGGATAAACAGTAATATACCATGTACTTTAAAATACTCTTGAATACATCTTTGCTCATCATGTTGGTGTGTGGTTTGTGTGTGGGTTTTTTTTTTTTTTCCCATAATCTTCAGACTGGATTGAGTTAAATGATGGGCAGTTTAAGCAATTGTAGCTAATGTTTAAAGTTTTTTCAATTAATTTCTTTCCCTCAGAACTCCACTTGTTTGGTGTGACAGTGAAGAGCATCTAAATGGCCTCTTCTCTACTGCACAGCAAAGTCAAACATTAGGAGACAGACTCTTCATGTTGAAGAAGAGCAGAAAATTCTAACATTGTGTATGAATCTGTTAGATTTTTATCACCATATACACATAAAGTGTGCTCGTTAAACTGACAAAAAGGGCCTCATTATACAGTGTTATTATACAGGATGTGTAGGTTTCTAGCTTTTATTTTTTTGAACTAATGAAATTGTCTTGCATGTTAAAGGAGAACTGAGTGTGAAATCAACTTGGGCATGCCTTTCAGTGTAGTATTTCTGTGTTGATTAAATGGGAGCATTAATATGTTATGTTACAGATTGCAACTGTAGCAAAATGTCAATTTGTTTTCTTCCTCAAAACCACATATCTCATCCTCTAAGTGTTGTCAATTTGCAAATTGCAGGAAAATGTGGAATTGGATTGCTCTACGTGATCCTCTTAACGTTAGGGCAGTACACATTTTTCAACAGTAAGTTGTTTATTGTCTAGCAGGGTAAAAAATTTGCTGAGAGGACATGGCAGGGGGATTTTATGTAGGACTTTGTGCACAAATTACGTGAATTAAACACTATTTATCTACTTCTGTTGGTAGTGACAGCCTCTTCCCCTTGAGCTTGTTATTTAACCAGTAACTTTTCGGATATGATTTGTTTAGTTGCCTTGTTGGTAACCAAAGTGAAGCATGATGTGGGTTGTTGGCCTCAGAGGTAAGCAGGTGTTTGTAAACAGGTGGCCCTGCAGCCGCTGGCACAGGACTCACGGCTATCACCAGCCGAGCTGAGTCGAGACAGTTCAGTCCTGAATCCTTGGCTTCCTTGAAAAAGCTACATACAACAGATGAGATCTTCCTCCACATCTGAGTTGGTGCAGTGCCCTGGAGGTCTAAGATCTTGTTTTATACTTGACATTATATCAGAAAGTCTTGTCTTTCAGGTGAGAGATAATACTGCCATTTGTGTGATAATCTGCCTCTTCACAACTACCCCAGCAGCCTCTTGTTTCAGTCCTACCCCCTTTCTGTGTGCTTCATTAGCTACCCCAGTTGAGAGCAGCTGAAATTTTAAGGAGCTGCCACATAGTAGGTGGTCCCAGCTGGTAATTAGAACTTATATTTTAAAGGCAAGCAGGGCCTTTAAGGCCAAGGAAGGTAAAAGCTGGGCACTGTGAGCAGAGATGGTACTCCTCTCAGCTGAAACTGCTTTTCTGAAGAGCACAAGGTGAGCTAGTGTAAGGTTAAGCTGGTGAATACTTTCCCCGTTTGCCTCTCATCTGAGCATCAAAAAAAGCAATATTCTGTTGTAAGGTTAATGTTTGGTTTGCTTTTGGTTTCATCATTCTGTGCTTGTGGTTAAACCATTGGGTTCTTGAGAGAAGAGAGTAAATTTTCAAAGTCTTAAGTCAGCTGCCTTCTGTTACCTGCCCTTATTTTCTGTTGTGACTTCATAATAACCGTAGTTTATGCTTGTCTTATTTGCATAGAGCTGGTGTTGGACCTTTCTGCAGTGTCTTCTTGCACTTTCCTTTGTTTTTCTGCTTTCTATCTGACATACTGATGACAGCTATTTAAAATCCTCATGTCTGTTTTTGCAGCTGCAGCTTAATTCTTCTGTGTCTTGATTTTCTGTGGTGGTGTCAGTTGATATGCTTTCCTGCCAAATAGGGAGCTCAGGCTTTTGGGGTTTTAGAATTTTTATAGATGGATTTTACTATATAATTAGTATATTTTCTTCTGTATAAATGTAATTGGCTCTTCCATTGCAGAATTGTTTCTGCATTCGTGTACATAGGTAATAGTTGCTGCAATGATGGTGATTAAATTGAAAAACAGCCCTTTTTCTCTGGTTTTATGAAGCTTTCTTGTTTCCAAGTGACCAACTTTATTCTATAATGATGCATTGTTCTGTGCCTTGTGGCTTTTTGTATTGTGTTGCTTTTCCAGTGGTTTCTAATTAATACCCATAATACTGAATACCATACAGCTTGTCCTTGTTGAACGTTGTGATAAGTTTTTGTTTTCTATCTTGGTGTAGGAACACAAAGCTATTAACCTTCACCTTGTTAAGATTTTATAGGTTATGAGCATACGTTTATGAAAAAGAGAAACATAGTGGGTTTTTCCCTGCTATCTGTGGATGCAGGAAGACCCTGGTACAATTAGAAGTGACTTATAAATATTTTTTTTAATTGGATTTGTGCTTTAGTTGGTCCCTTCTGAGGCATAAAGAATGGTTAATAACCTGGAATAAATTTAATTTTTCCTTCAAAAATGTGGGAAAATGAATTGTTACCTTATAACATTCTTCTGAAGATCTGTTGGGAGCCTTGGAGCATTTTAATTCTCTTAAATGCCCTAACTGAAGAACCAATAGTCCTGAGTCAGACAAAAATATCTTTGATGCAGAACACTCCTTAGGCATTTAAATTGTAAGCAAAAAAAACCTTGAACAATGCTTGAAAACCCATTTGTGTTCCACTTAATTACTCAGCTTCTTACTCTATTGGCCACTGTAATGTTATTGTTTAGAGAGCCTCAAAATAGTTCCAAGAATACATGAATTGCTAATGTAGAAAATAAACAGGAAAATAGTGAAGTGTTTGGGGCCAAGATGAGATGGAAGCTTTCCCTTTGCCTCTTCTGTAGACTGGGAAAAACAAGAAGTTATTTTCCTTTTCACAGTCCTCTAAGCAAGCTTGTTTATCACATGCCACATTCTCTGCATACAAAAATGGGAAGCCATAAAACAAAGGATGAAATTAACAATTCACTGTGTTTGCTTTCATTGAAGGTTGTTTGAGGAGCAATGTTAAAAGTCGCAGAACAATTTGGAATGGACCTCTGAAGGTTGATCTGGTCCAACTCATAGCAGCGAATTGATAACATTTTATCTTTGTCAAAAAGGAGTTTAATAAACGTGTTTTGAACACGCCATTACTCTGGTTTCTGCACGTTCTTAAAATGATCCAGTTTAGTCTCATATATTTCAAATTTCAATACTTGCACAGTGAAGACAGGTGTGTGCATTCTCATCTATACTGAATTCCAATACAGTGTTTTTGTGTCTGTCTGGTTTTTAATATTTGTTTGTTTGGTTTTTTTTAGGTTTAATGTGAACAACAAAATTCTTCATCCTGAAATCACAGAATGGTGAGTAGCATAAAATCTTTCTCTTGGAGTACTGTTGAATGTGCTTATCTTCTGTACCATTGCCTCAGAGGGATTCCTTCAGCAGAAGCCTCCTACTTTGCTATATGATTTTTCATTTTAAGCCAGTTTCTTGTTATGAGGTGAAAATAATGTACAAAACTGAAACCAGGGCTAGGTTACGGCACTGAAAAGTGAAGAACTGATGTAACATTTCTTAAGCATTGTGTATGGATATGCATTTTTATAGAATGTGCTGGAAGTTAAGTTACGTTTGTGTAAATGTGAATTTGAATAGGAAAAGAACTGAGGATAATTCATATTCTAGCAGTGAAAATCAAAGGTAGGTGAAAACTGAACAGGTAATATTTAATAAGGTGTTATTACTTCTCTGGGATTTAACAGCATTAATTTTGTGGAATTATTATTCATGTAACTGTACTTTGTAATTCTAGGAGAATTCTGCTGAAGCCTATCTAGAATAGACAAAATTAGAGAGTGTGACTGAGTATATTAGTAGTTTGCAAAGCTACTGCATCTTACCATTTTTCCTCTTTTGGTCAGCATTGCTGACTGTCCTCGGGATTGTTCCGTAACTAGGGCGTTCCAGTTTTTCCTTTAGGAAGCTAATTGAAGAAATAATATAGTGGATTTTTGTTAATGAATTATGTTTTTATCTAAGCTTTTTTACTGTATTAGTCTTGTAATAAGGAAGTAAATCCTTAGTTAAGACAGCTAAGGTCAAAATTTAAAAATACAAACAGGAAAGTGTACACTTTACCACTGTTGTAGCTTATTGTACAATGTGCTACTGCATATTAGTCTTTTTAGTGCTTATTATTAGCAAATATACTGACAACAGTCTTCTGTCTTCATCTACATCTAATTGTCACCTCGAAACCTAGGCATGTTTTTTTGAACATCAGTACAGTTTCACAATGTGTAGAATATTTTATAGGTCACATTTCTGTTCTAACAGCCATTTTTCAGTGCTTGACATGACATAAAAAAGGTCTAAAAGGAGTAGAAGCAGGGAAACTTTGCTTAGACATTGTTGCATCACTGTGCAAGGAAGGACCTGGAGATGTGTAGTAGTGGAATTCATTACTTGAAAATCCTGCTGATGAGTTCAAAGGGGAAATGTGAGTATTTTGTAACACAGAAAGCTCAGGGTGTGAGTTTTTAAATCTTGATTATTCTGTTAATCTAGAATTTGGACCCTTCCTTTTCCAAAACAAAGATGTTATCTTAGGGAATTGATTTCTGAACCTGAGTTGATGCAGCCTTTGACATGCAAAATCCTGAGTAATGTGGACAAAACAAAAGCTTGGAAACTGATGTGTAGGGATGTGCTTTTCAGATGCACAAATTAAGCAGTTAGGTGAAGAAGGACTTGAGCAAAATTTTTTTTTTTTAAATATGTTTAGCAGTTAGGTGGAGAAGGACTTGAGCAAAAATTTTTTTTTTTTAAATATGTTTAGTTAGTCAAGCTCCTATGGTTACAGACAGGAAGATCTAGAAATGCTCACACATGCTCTAAGACCTCTGATACTATGCTACATTGATTACAAAAATAATAGAAAGGGTAAGTCAAGTAGAAGTTCTCCATAAAGTCTTATCTTCCTTCAGAGATGGCTGCTCCTGAGTTCTAGTTGGCTGGTTTGGTGTAGGACATGGGGGTTTTTTTTAAGACATTGGCAGCTTGCAGCCTTTGACACTTCATGATCATGTGCCCAGCAGCCAGATAATTCTCCCAGTGATGTGACAAGCTGTTTGAGGAGTGGAGGAGGGAGCTGCACCTTTAACCTGACAGTGTCATTTTTGTGCTCCTCTTATTTGCCTGCCTTCTTGCACTCTTGCTGTCAGAGAAAGACAAGGCACAAGAGAGGGGATGTGGTCCCTTCCAAGCTTTGATCTGTAGATACAGCAGCACTACAGGGAGAGAGAGATGGCAACTTCAGCTGCAGAAGGCTTTGGATTAGGGCTACAAGCTTGTTCCCAAGTCAGATTTCATTCTGGTTCCATCTACTTTACCAAGTTGTCACCTGATAAGCTTTTCTCCTCTGTGCTTTGGGTTAATGGTGTCTTAAATATTCTTCAGGAATCTCAGGGGTGTACCAAAATGAGGTCCAGGTGCTGAGGTTGCACTGAGATACATGGAGGATTGAAGCAGTAGAAAGGCAGCACTTGGAGCTGTTTATTTTAAGACCAAACAGAGAGAGAATCTTTTCTGTGAATTGTAAGTGCTAGCCTGGAAGTTTGTGATCTCATGGGAAGAGATGCTTGGTGTGCACATTCCCTCCACATGACTTTCAAGGAAAGGGAATTCTAAGTGAAGATGAAGTTCTGATTTGTGTTCAAAAGTGTTTTAAAAGTTTTTATTGATTTAGTGACTTTTATTTGAAGTCAGAAGTTTGTTATAGGCCATCATTAGGATTTAAGTGTCTGGTGAAATCAATATGTGAATGACATAGATATTAAAACTTCCTGAAGTAGAAATTTCCTTGGAATGTCAAGTTATTGCCCAAGAAACTTTATTTGGAAAGCAATAATATTTTTAGAATTAAGGAAATCAAGAAGATTTGGGGGGGGGGGTGTATTTTACAGTAGGAAATAGCTTTATTTGAATTGTGTGCTTTCATGTGTGCATATAATTTCAAATTCAGCAAGCTCTGAACTACTCTATTTTACATGATACTTACCAGAAAAACTCTGACCTCTACCATGCTTTCAAAGCTGCCAGAGAGAGGTGAAATGGCTGAGTTTTCTGAACTGTCCAGGGAGAACAGGGAGCTACAAAGGGCAGCTCTAGTATTCTACAGTCTTGTAATAAAATGCAGAGAAAATGGTTCAATACTGACAAGGGGCAAGACATTTGTGATTAAGGCTCTGTTGCCTTTCTTGCTTACTCACTCTTTTTCAAGATCTTAACATTTTCTGACTTGCTATGAAACTTAAAGATAAAACAGAATAATTTGACCTTAGACCTGATTTCAGCTGTTTGCAGAGGGTATTTTGACTTTTTTTTTTTGTTTTTACTTGAGTGAATGTATTTCTAAACACATTTAAACACTTTCATTTTAAATTTCAGGGCTGCCATTTCAAATTTGATACTGAATGTGTATGCTAAGTATTGATTTCACTGTTTTGGAAAGAAAATGTAATCTAACAGAAGATAAAGTCCAAACTTATCCAAATTATCTTCCTAGTAATCAGATGTAAACTTTTCTACACTATCACTTAGCAAAGTGACCTTTTGTTACTTTAGTATACCAATGTCTGTCTAACATAATAGTGATGGTACTAGAAGATAAACTTCCAGCAGTGTATGGCTCATTTTCTGCCTGTATCTACTGTATTTTCCTATAACCACAATGAACATGAGATTTGGTAGTTATATGTGGAAGTTTCAATGTATTCTGTCTTTTGCATTACTTTGATGAAAAGCTATAATTGTTTCTTCAAGGAAAATGATCTGTATGTTAGTGTCTTAAAGCTGGACATACGCTTTCTGTGTTATCAGAGTATTTTTTTAATTTATGTTGTAAACCTCCTAACATCATCTTGAATTGTTCCAAGATGAGCTCCCATGTTTGGTGTTGATGGAACTGTTCTTTCCATTATTTCCAGAGAAGCATTGTACTGTTAATGCTTCTCTTTTGCATATGTTCATTATGATGTTTAATGACTTTACTACTTTAGTTAGGAAGTTTTTATGCAAAAACTTGTAGAAGGCCATAAATACATCAACTATGATAGAGAGATTTCTATAAATAAAATGTGGAAAGGTGGTAGCAGGGGTGTAAAAGGGAGCAAGGCAGAGGACTGCAGAGTGGTCTGTAAATGTAGTGTTTCCAGAAGGACAAGGAGGAGTGGACGTGCTCAGATGTTCTCCGTGCATGTCACAAAAAGCAGCCATTAACATTGCACATAGACACTGAAAAAAACTGTTCTGGTATGGAAATGCCTCTGTGTTCCACTGG